CTACTGGTGTTATGTTCAGGAAACGGTCTCCTGTACCAATATTCTTAGTCATAGGAATGACATTTTCTAGGAACTTGGTCACTTCCCTGATATTGCAGTTATAACTTACACAGCTCTTTAGTTTCTGTGGAAATTCTCAGCACCAGTGGTTGTGCCTTTACGTAGGAGTAACAATGATCACTTGCACCAAGGCAGGCTCATCAAAACAAATTTGCAGGTCAAGTCACCAGCATCACTTTGCCATTCGTACTGCGTGATTACTTCTTTCCAGTTCATTAATTTCTAGTCCTTTCCTTATTTTTTATTTTTCTTTGATTTCTCTACATTATTATCTTCTTTGTCTTAATTTGGATTTTCTTCCCTTATTTAATGTAAGCATATAAGTACTTAAATTTCTCACTAAGCATCATTTATACTAATCTGGCACACTTAAATACATCATTATTATTCCATTCTATACGTTTTACAATTCCTACCACATTTATGTTTTCAAGTGGTGACTGTTCAGAAGTTTGCTTTGAAATTTCCAAATGTTATTTTTTTAACTGTGAAGCTATGTATGGTTGTGCCATTAAATTCTGTCCTAGGGATATAATAGACATGTGTATACAACAATGATACAACAAATATCATTAAATGAACTTTACATTCTTTTATCTCTTTATTTTCCTTTTACTAGCTATAATGCAGTCATAATGACCACAGACGGACCAAGTGGGAGCACACAGAGGCAGGCAGAGCAAAAAGACGAGTCATGGTTCCAAGATTTGGCCAACACCATCCTTCTGTACTCATTAAGCATGAGCTGCTACAAGAAATGAATTTTATCTTAACTATTATTTGGGGATGTCTGGGGTACTATAGTTATGCCAAGTTTCAATAACAGAATATGAGAATCTAAAGCATCAAGACATTGATAAAAAATAATTAAGGGAAATTTTTAAATGTGAAAAATGGATTTATGATCCAAGTTGAATTGCTATAAATTCTCTTTCACTTCCAAGTTCTTTCTCACTAGTTTCTCTATAGTTTCCCCCTTGGCCTCAACTTCCATTTACAGAGTAGTCATCCTTCATCAGAACAGTGACACCAATGAGAGTTCCTGATCCTTCATTTTTCCAAGTACATTTCCAAAGCTCACTTTTATCCAAGGTGTTCCCTTCCCATCTTTATTTACAGTCTCTCACTCACCACAGCACTCTGTCAGGGCCAGGGTGACTACACCCTATGTCTTTATATGGCATTTCAAACCACAGGCAAGGGCATAAAAGCCATTAACATCTCTCTAAGAAATAAAAAAAGTTTACTACTCCATGGCTCCCAACATTCATCCCCAAGGAAAAGATAGAATTCCTCCAAGGATGTCTCAGCATCCACTGCTAACCAGTAGAAATGGGTTGTTCAAAAGAAGTCACTTGTACCTCTTTGGTTGGCACTTCACAAACCCAGACTGTTAACTATTATCACTGTAAACTGTCACCCATGTCAAGGCTGTAGAGAATCTACCCCCAAGAAAACAGGAAGGGCTTTGAAAGAAAACAAAAGCCAGGAAGTTCAGTAGTTTTTGCTGAGCACATCCTTCTGGGTTTTCTGACTCTTCCAGATCACTCCACCTGGCCTCCACCTGGTATTGCTGGTGAGTTTGTATAATTCCAGGCTGTAGACAACAAACAGCAAATGATTCCTGTTTACAGATGAATAATGTTGTCCAGTTTCAATTAATTTAACTTTTTACAATGGAAGAAGCCAAATCAGTTCAGGACTCCTTCACCCATTCCCTCTCTATTCCTTCTTCTTTCCCCCTCTCCTCTCTCTTTGACGTTCATTGTTCTTTGAATCAATGATAATATTCTGTTTGTGCCATCACTAAGCAGTTAAATCAGCATATTTCACAGAAGCTCATATTATAATGACACAAGAATCATGATATCAATGGTCTTTAAATTATTACCTTGACGAACCCCATGCTCATTTCACTTACATTCTTAGTCTGGAAGGCCTCCTTTGGGTCTTTCTGCATGATACTCCCAAACTCTTCATATTTCACAGGTAATTCTCTCCTTCCAAAACTGCTAAACCTGCAAGTTTTATGATGTGCCCAGACAATGCTGCTCCAATGCATCCTGCCAGTCTTGCCTTTGTAACAGCTGTGGCAATGTGCATCGTCTCTCCCACTCAAGTGCTGTGAGCCATCCATTTACCTCACAGCAGTAACTCACTTATGTGTGACATCTCTCTGCAACCTGGAAACTGATCACAACTTCGTCTCCATTCTTCCTCCTTTGGTCAATGCAGTACTTTTAGAGTTCCCAGAAAACACAAATGGCTCATATTATCAATGCCTATGAGCTGAGGCTCTTAATGTAGAATTTTCTTCAGGTAATCACTTATTTTTATTTGGGAGATCAACTTGCCATACTTTGGTTGATGGGGTTTCCTTTGCAGGAAAACTCAAACAAGGAAACTGTTTCGTGCTCAGGGAAACACCAAATAGTGTATGGTACTATCTGGAAAGACCCAGAAATCCAAGTACCTCTGGGAAAATTTACCCTCAACCACTGGACTGATAGTATTTATACTCGTTTTTGCTGTGTACAGTCTTAAATAAGGGTAGGATACATAGAGTTCAAATTTTTCATTCAATGCATACTTACTGCATGTCCACCATGTATGTGAAGTTTTTGACAGATCTTGGGGACTCATTTACAAATGAAATATAATTTGGAATCCAAGGGTTTGTCCGATAGTGAAAGGAGACGGGAAATTTGAGGGGGAGTAGGTGCACAAGCACAGAGAACAAGGTTGCAACTGTTAAATGATGTCATGGATGATACAGAAACACCCTGTTTTTGTGTATTACAACTACATGAACACTTAAAGTAATCAATTATTAGTACCCCTAAGGGAATGATGAAATGCAAAGTGACATCTGCTCCCCCAGCAACACCCACCCTGCATGTGATCCTTTCTGTGACCTCCAGAGCCATAGCCAAGTGTGGGACACCAATATGTGCCTTTTGAATTATGAAGGATAATAAATGATTCAGATTGCTTTCAGCATATTTGATTTTATGAACTATAAAATACTTTATCAGTTAAGGAGTCTACCGAGTGAATTAAATTCCGTTCTTCTAATTCAAAGGACTTCATAATATTTGAGCATGAACATTATCACCTAGCATTTTAATTTTTATGGTTTTTACTTGTGATAATTATTTTTGAGAAAACTGTTACTGTACCAACCCCCAGTCCATTTAATCATTTTTATTTTTCTCATGATGACTTTTTATTTTTACCTTTGGTTCCAGGGGAGCCCTCTGAAAGGCCTTTAAGTTTATATTGCATGATACTTCATTAGGAAAGATGTTAGGTATAGAATAAAACCAACAAATACAAGGAAATGAGAAAGACTTTGCATTGATGTAACTTGTGGTTTTGCACTGATGAAATTCTGATTTTTAAATAAAAAATAATATATGACCAGAATGACAATGGCAAGCCAACACTGGGCTTTCATATTTTTTCAGGGTTTTTCCTTCTCTGGTATCAAGACTTGCTAAAGTTATTATAATTTTAGCCATTTTTACAGATGTAGAGTCAAGAAGATACACTTTTAGATATATATAAATGGTATTTTATGCTTTCTGTCTACAAATACATACATTGTCATCCTGCTCATAGTTTTAAAGAGAAGTTTTAAGTCATGAGCTTTTTGTCAAGACACTCCTAAAACTAAGTAAAAATATGCAGGCTTAAACGGACACTGTACTCCCTTAATGCTGTCACACTGAAAGGCGGAAGGTGAGAGAAAGGCCCAGTTAAATCAAAGGAGGAAATGACTGAGTCTGGACAGTGTCACTTTATAAAAACAGCTCTATTTATTTCTGTTTCTTAAACTTAAGATAGAGACTTGACTTGTTAGCTTATTGCTTAAAGGGGTTTTATTCCTTCCTGTACATTAAAAATTTACCAGAAGAAAATCACCACTATTCCCAAGATACTGTTACTGTTTTATGTAGTTTTTTTATGACTGTTGGATGCAAAAATATGCATATCCAGTATTTGCATCAAAGTTTTATACATTACTACACTTTTCCCCATGTACAACAGCAAGGCAATCTTTACTTCTTCAAATATGTCTTTTTAATTGCTACATAATATTTTGCCACAAAGTAGTGCTATAATTTATTCTGTTTTTCTAATTTCCCTTTAGTTAATGTGGTGCTGGAGACTAAACCCAGGATCTTGTAGGTGCCAAGCAAGTACTTGGCCACTGACCGTACATGCCCAGCCCTAATCAAAGAAAAACAGCCATATTTTCTAAACCTGGAAAAGCAAACAACAATCACAAAACACAAATCTTATACCAAGGGCCTGTTGTGGGTTTTCTCATGCTTCTGATTCTAACATAAGTTTCTTCCACGATGAATATAGCATGGTGGGTTATACAATGCTGTCTTTCACGTTTCTTATAGATATGGTGGTTTCTCTCTTATATTTTAAAATGAATCATTTTAGTGTTTACAGGGAGGTACTTAAAATTATTCCCCAATACTAGATTTCTTCAAGTAAGATTGTCAGAAAAAAGGTTGACTGGGTTTTATCATCCTTTTATGAATAACAGCAAAAATTGAAAACAATATGCTAAAAACTTGGACTTTGAAATGCTTGCCAGTCAACTTTTGCAGTGATAGTGAAATGAAGACAAAGCAGTTAAGGCCTGGGTCATATTTATACTAGTCCTGTGAACCCAGGGTTGCACATCTTGGCATGTTCACCCCAAGACAGCAGCAGCCCTTTCCACACATTCACACTTTTATCTTGAAAGGTTTCACCAGAACAGTACATGTGCACGTACCTTTTAGACACAGTTTAGCGCCTTCCCCACTTTGAAACTTAGAGGGAGTTCCAGAAATACTTTCGGCAACTGCTTCCTCTGGTGGGCTCAGAAATCCAGAGAGCAGTAATTCTGATACAAGAAGAAAAATGCCCCCACTTACCGTTTCTAATGCATTTACACGGTCCTGCAAATGAAGCGGAATACAGAATTACTAAATGAAAGCTGTAAGCTGACATCGTTTGCAGGTTTTCCTGTCCACCTGCTATTAGCAAATATTATTTTACAAAGAAAAAGCATAAAACTCCTTACTCAGATGATCTCAGCAACAGAAGAACAGGCAGAAAAGAAACATAATACCTTTTCTTATTGCATCTACTGATGGATTGGGCCTCAGGGCTTAATTTAATAGAAAATGCAATGAATTCAGATCCAGTTACTGAGAGTAATGGCTCTTACCACTACTGTACTGTTAAAATTCTCCCCTTAAGGACATGGACGTGGTAGATAAATGTGACTACAGGAGTCACAGCTGGGTGCTTGCAGTGACACACAAAAGACATGAGGACATCCACTAGCCTCATTAGGTAAACATTCAAGTGTGTGATCTAGTAAAACTTAGATTTAACTTCAACAGTTAAAAGTCATAAAAAAAACACTGAATGAGAAAGATTCCTATGGAGCCGAGGCCCTTGCTATACAGTTACTCTGTAAATCAACTACAGAATCTAGTTTATAGAAATACTGGTTTTAATTGAGTCCTAGACAACAACATTAATTAACAAGCCAAATGATTAAGGAAAAAAAATAATTTTGAACTCAACAACCACAATCACAACTCTTGCTAGAGGTGAAAGGTGGAAACTCAACATATTCAACAAGTTTAAAAACTGGATTTGAGAGGAAGCTAAGTCTCAAAATCTAGATGGACTGTCAGAATTTTCTGGGGGTGAGGGGGGCAAAGTTATGTTTTGTTTGTTGTTCTGTCATTTTGAGCATCTGGAGGAAATCTATGGAATCTGGATTCTTTTTCTTTAATTAGGTTCAGTCACATTATTTTAGCCTTATCAGAAACTGAGGGCTTTTACCTGGGGAGTTCTGTAAGTAGACCCCCAAGTCTTCACACAGAGAAACTGAGTTGAGCAGCCTGCAAACATTGGCTATGAGGGCACAAGTTAGCTTATTAATGCCATATATTATAGAAAGCAACCCAAAGCTGAGTGCTGAGCAACATAATATGTTTGATTACATTTTATTGGCATACTTGGTAGGGTTTCTCCTTGCCACCATGATTTTTATAAATCAGTATTCCATGCTGACTCTTGGAGCGTCATGTTTGAGTGCTATCCCAAATGCCTATGGCACCTCAAATAGTCTCTATTGTGTTGCTACCAGACTTCTTATTCACAGCAAACCTGGAGCATCACCATTCAGCAGCGCCTCACTGTCCTGTGCAGACGGAGTGGACAGAAGTCATGGGCACATTATGTTAACCACTGTGTAGGGGATCTACAACCCTTACAGGGATTTGACATTTCTCCCACATGATGTTCTGTGGGTTGATAATGTTTAAGGTTACTATATTGTAAGAAAACACATATAGCTGTCTTGAAATAAGAAAATTATAATGTCAAAACAGAAGAGCGATTTCCATCTGCTTTAATTTTTATCATACTTACGGCCAAGACATCATTCTGATTCATGCTATGTCTGAATTCTATCCATCTGTTTTCATCCTTTTCACATTTATGGCAAAGATAATCTGATTTATGGTATATGTCTGAATTCTATCTAAATATTTGTATGACTTTAAACATAAGCCTAATCTATACAACTGTAAATTCAAAAGTCAAATAATACCGTCTGTTTAAAACATAAAGACTACAGAGCACTTCATTCACTGTGGCTTACTAATGCCTACTAGCCTACAGTCTACTTTCTTCCCAAGTGGTAATGAAATCAGAAATGCTACGGAAAATGAATGCAAAACAAACAAACAAGAAGAGCCAGGAGAGGCCTGTGAGGTGGCTTATGGGTAGTGCATGCCAATAACCCTGGTCATCTGAGTTTATCTCTGGGAAACACAGGTAGAATGAGACACTCAATTCCTAGGTGTTATCCTTGGACAGTTACAGAGGTGCCCCCCACCCACCCACAAATAAGTAAAACGCAAGTGGTTTTTTTTTTAAATGAGAAAATAGGAAGTTCTTATTAACATACACTCGATTAATTCAAGTTGTCAAACAACAAGAGCAGCTATTAAGAGTTCAGGCATTGCACCCATTAGTCCATTAGTGAGCATGATCCAAACCACGTAGTTGTAAAGTCTCAATTGTAGGACATAAGTAAGACAAAACAACTACTTATCTTTTAATTAAGGTTATTTAAAAACTTATGAATGTAGAAAACCATAACTGGCCACAGGTACAAATAATTGCCTTACTAAGACCTTCACTGGTGAATGATTATTCTTTCTTTTTCTTTTTGAATTTCCAAATTTTGTTTCCATAGATTTTACTTTCAAGTGCCACCTACAGGCTCAACAGACTTTAAAACCATGAAAAGCATAGTAATATTAAAGGGGCAGTTACAGGTTGAAGACTCAGAGAGGAACAACAACCTCCACAGTAATGAAGATACTGTCATGGTAACCAAATTATTTTAGGTGATGGATTAGTGGGTTTATATTTACAATCATAGATTTGAGTATCTGTTTAAAATAAACCTTCTAAGGAAAGTGAACATTGTATATAACACATTTATACCCGTAATTTTACATGGGCTTTTAATACAATGGCAGACTCTCCAAGGAGATCTAAGGACCTCCAGTTTTTTTTATTTCATATAAAAACTTCTAAAATAAAATGTAGGAATAGTATACAAATAAATTATATTAAGCAAATCTACTTCTCCTTTAGGAAATGTTTCAAGATAACTAACATCAAGATTGAGGAGGAAAGAATTAAGAGTAATACAGAGGCAAAACTATGAATCTCTGAGGGGAATATAAGAATATAAGGTTAATCAACAAAATCCAAAAAGAAATCAAAGGGAAAAGTTCCTTCAGATATTTTGAAGAAACAAAGTTTAGGATAAGGTCTATAGTGTTATCCTTAGGACTTTTGGTGATTAGATAATTCTTTTTCTACCATTCTTTAATTATAAGACAAAGTCAAGAAACATCTGCAGTGGCAATAAATAATGATTTTAATATATACAGGATTCCCATGGAGCTGGAGAGTTACTGGTTTAAATGTGCAGGGCTAACAGCTATTTCCACATGTGACCATCATAAATTATCTAGTGACAATAATGCAGATAGACATTGTGTTCTAATTTATTCTGGGCTTGACAGGCCATGTAGACAGAGCTATATTTGGGAGGAGACTTACAGCATGCATACTGTTAAAATGTATTTTAACTTTTTAGGACGAGGTGAATGCTCTGCCGTGAGTCATAAATATTCAGTCACTGATGGTCACAATGGAGTGTGCATTCAAATTCACGAGTGAACCAAGGCAAATTCATTAACATCACTGCAGATGGGAAAGGACTGTCAGGCCAGGTTGGAAATGAGCATGAAATGGATCACTGGTATCTGAATGGCAAATCACTACCAGCTCACTTGAATCAGCTGAACCAATCAATTAGACATAGTGAATTAGCTATTTAAGAGATGGATTAGAAGCTTACAGATTAAAATACTAAGAATTATTTTGCTGTAGGTAAGGACAGTTGAAGAACTCTAGTGCCCACATCACGATCAAGTAGCATTTTCAGAGAAGGGCTTTAAAAGTATCATGAACATAGGAGAAAAATAATACTGGCATACAAACATAAGATGAATCTGTTTTTTCTAAATCAAAGCTCTACAAGTAAAATAATTTTGTAATCCTCTTTGGAACAGAAATATCATGATGGATACATAGTTTTCATCAAGAAAATCCCACAGTAAGGACATCCTCCCACTAAAAGCAAACAGACTATTCTAGAAGGTAATTTCTCAGCTTCATCCCAACTACCACAACACAGTGCTCTTCTTGCCAACACCTAGTCTTCTCTGGGTACATATACACATGTGCCCATGTGTCTTCATGTGGAGAGCGGGAGTCTATGTTGGGCATGTTCCTCAATCACATTCCATATTAGTTTTTTGAGGTAGAGTCTCTCACTGAATCTCAATCATTTGGCTAAATAAACTAGTCAGCATACCTGAAGATGCTCCTCTTTCCAGCTGCCTATCACTTTGACTACACTCACATACTGTGTCAGTGGGAATGGAAATCAGGTCTGCATGCTTGCACAGCAGGCACATTACCAACTGAACCATTTCACCAGGCCCATTGTCGACTATATCTAGTGGACAGTCAGCGGTACCTGCTATGACTTTAACAAAGGATGAGTGTATTGAACAAAATGCAGGAAATATATATATATATATATATATATATATTTCCTTCTAGGCATTTCATCATAGCAAACAGTTACATTTAATAGCTAGTCATAGTTTAATAACTAAAAAAGTAAAAATAACCTCACATTCTTTCCCAAATGTCAAGATAGTACAAAGAAAGGAAGAACAAATCTTTTATTGTCTATCACCAACAAGATAAGCATTTCCTAGAGGGATTTCAAATAAACTCAAATAAAACGAAGATTGAAAAACACAATTCAACACAGCAACATCAAAAAATTACAATACAGTATAAATTGGTTCTGAATATACTATATACATGCAATTATGAGCTATACATGAAATTGCATGTTCCCTTTCATTGCAAGTTACCCTAGACTGTCTTGAGGATGGATGGTATTAGAGAAGTATGCACTGGTGTGACAATCATCCAATGTTCAATTCATCCATCAAGAGGTACTAAGAACTTAATGTTACCTCATCACAGTAGATACTGTGAGTACGTTTGTTAGTTCATTAGCTACTTACATGCTTTTCTCCAAACTATTTCAGGGTCCACAACAAGAAATCAGAACTAATGAAAGAAATGAAAACAACACAACAAGTGGAGGTTTTATCTTAAAACGGTGTCACTAAATGACCAAACAGACTTACCAAAAGAAGCAAGTTTAAAGTGACATGTCAAGTCTTGCCCTAAACATAGTGTCTAATAATACTCAATGTCATCTGGCCTGGTGTGGCAAGTGACTGAGATGCAGAGACAATTATAGAATTTAAAAGCAGATTCAGAGTCTCTCCTGCTTTTCCAGTACATTCTTTCAGGTAGGGTGTCACTGTTGCCTGTGATGCCTATGAGCCTGCAGCTGGCTTCTATGTCATGTTCTGCTTCGCTTTCAGATTAGCAATTGGGTTTGTGTTTTTGCTTATTACCAGGTCTTTACTGATCATGACAAGTCAGCTGGCTGTTAGGAGAGGATGGCATTGTAGTCTCACAAGGATGGGATGCAATTTTTAACTACCATTAAGGGAAATACAGAAATGCCTGAGTGATAGTTTATGGAATGGGGTGGGTGAATGAAGCTTTGTAGATTTGTCTCTAGATTTCATACTGGAAAATGCAGCCAGAAAGGAGTGTGTGTTGGGGGGGGTATTTCAAAATGCTATAAATACTTGTGTTTAATTCTATTAAATTGGTACTAAAATTAGATTTCTTCACTATTTCAAAATCAAGAAGCAGAGACTTTTATCTTTTAAAATCAAGGATCATGTCAAGATTGGTCTTTTAAAATACAATGTAATGGGGTATGTAGGTATGTGTCTACAAAATGTCTCTTAAAGAAAAAAAAATGAAGGTGGAAGATGGAATTATCGTTCTCCCGGGAGTTCTCAATTCCACATTGAAATGGCTACTAGTAGGAAACAAAGGCATTTTGTTCATTATGCGGCATCTGGGATATAGCACGAGTGAAAATTATCAACAGATAAAATATTGCCTATGGCGGTGTGTGGGGCAGTGTAAATGATAACTGATAGGATTTCTAAGACTGACTATTCCCAGAGAGATGTATGTAAGAAGAGCAGTTGGATGTGGAGGAAGAAAGCCAGCGACTCAGAAATCAACACATCATAGTTTTTTTTCAAAGATTTACATTATAGAAAGTAGAGTACAGGTTTCCAGCTGTGAGGTTAGCCACACATTTGCCAAAATGATCTGAAGGTCATGCTGCATGGCGATTATGCCAGGGCTTATGAGCAGGGCTGTGTCATGGAGAAATGTGTAGGAAATATAAGGTGGACTTGTATTTTCAGGTAAAAATGGGATATGCACTTCATGGTCTCCAAAAGTAACCGGCCCGAGGGAAGCCCTAAGTATTATGTCTCCTTCATTGCCCTCAAGGGCAAACATCTGGGCTTCTTGGGAGAAAATTATCACAAGAAAACCTTATAAGCAAAGGATCCTTTGGCCCAAGCGCCTTCCTCCTGAGGACTGATTTGCAGCCTTATCCTTACATGTCCCGTGTATCACAGAGTTTAATTTTAAATGGCACAGCCACAACGTCAGTCCACTTGGTGAGTAAATTGTTCATCTCTGTGCAATTCCAATAATCCCCATCCTAATCTATACACAGAGTCATTTACTCAACCCTCTGCAGGGAACCCATTAAATAATTGCACACCGTTAGTTCCCACTTGGGTTCCTCTGTGTAGTTACTTCTCAGTGTTACATGACGGAGGGGCTGCAGCTCAGGGAACTGGAGACTTGAGCTGTAAGTTTTAAAACAATCTATTTGGCTGACTTTATGTTACATTTTTTCCTTCCTATTTGGTTTGACTTTAATTAAAGCACTATTACTAATTGGTATTTCCTAATACACACAGACAGATATGAAAGAAAGGCAGTTAAAGAATGCAAGATTAACCTCAGATTCCCTGCCCTTAGGCAGCCAATAGGAAGCTATTGTTTATATCTAACGATATAGAAGAAAAACACAAATGAATGATTTGTTTACATGTCCCCATGGGAAGCATACCTGAAGGCTGGAATATCCTGCATGCCCTAAAATAAAGCAGATGCATATTTTGGCTATTCAATTCACATATCCTAAATATTCCTATCTATGACATACTTAACTGCTTTATCTTCAAATTGAGCTGCATTCTGAGTTTTCACTGCAGACTGACTAGCTTCTTCCCAAGGTGGAAGTTTAAATAGCAGATTCGGCTGTTTAAGAGAGATGTGAGTTACCAAAGAGTTGGAAAGCTCTCTTATCTTAGTTATTGGGATGCTCTAAATAGTATAGCTATTAAAAATAACACGAATACAGACCATAATTTTCAACTAATTTTTGAATTTCTACATTTAGAGAAAATGGTATCATGCGGTGTTTTGAAATGGTTCCCCAGATAAGTCCTTATTCAACTTAAAACCAGAAAGTCTAGAGAAATCATCATTTGAAATTCCAAACATTGTCCCCTCCAGGGTACTAAAGAACACAGGGAGTTAGCTTAATGTGCCCAAGTCTTGATTTCACAAAACTGTACTGGAAGAAAGGGATACTCATTTCCCAGGTCTAAGAAGAAAGGGGATAAGTAGAATTAGGGCTTTTCAGTAGCCAAGCCTGGGCAGTCTCATTACCATGCAGGCTACTCAGACTCTCAAGTTTACCATGGATAATAGGACTTTAAGGATGCTGAGTGATTGTACACCAGGAAGGTTTGATCATATGACATTAGACTTTCCTTCCATTTGCTAAAATACCATAAATTCTACCAACAGAAATGTTATCCTTTGTAGAAGTGAAAGTCTTATTTCCTACTTCCTTGTGCCAGTTCATCTTGCAAATGGCAAGCATTTTTTTCCCACTAGATTCCACCATGAAGCTAGTCCAGGAGTCAGGAGACTTGGCCGGATTCAGCCAGCTACCTGTTTACACAGGACCATGCACTGAAATGGTCTTTATATTTTTATTTGGGTGAACAAAATCAAAGCAGAATACTATTACATGAAATTGCATGAAATCAAAATTTCAGTGTCTTTAAACAAAGCTTTATTGGAACATAGCCTGATGATTACTTATCCTTGTCTATGACATTTACCATGACACAATGCATAGCATGAGCATAAGACATGCACAATGGAAGGTATTTAGAATCCAGACCTTTCAACAAAGCCTAGTGACTATTGAAAGATATTGATGCTTGGTAAGAATTACTTTCTGCTTCACAAAGGTCACTGTAACACACACACACACACACACACACACACACACACACACACACACGGTGTTGGAGAGAAGGAAAAGGAGAAGAGGGAGAAGAGAGGAGAGAGTGCCATAGAATGTTTTTAATTAAATTAGAACACAAGCTTGTTTTATGTGTCAGTCCCAGTTCCTTCTCCCTCCCCTCTTCCCCTGCTCCCCACTTACCCCCTACCCTCATTCCCTTTATGCTCCCCAGAGTGGGTGAGGCCTTCCATGGGGAACTTTCAAAGTCTGTCATATCATTTGGAGCAGGGCCAAAACCCTCCCCCATGTGTCTAGGCTGAGAGAGTATCCCTCTATGTGGAATGGACTCCCAAAATCTATTAGTATACCAGGGATAAATATTCATCCACTACCAGAGGTCCCATAGACTTCCCAGGCCTCCTAACTGACATCCACATTCAGGGGTCTGGATCAGTCCTATGCTGGTTTCCCAGCTATCAGTCTGAGGTCGATGAGCTAGCTCCCCCTTGTTCAGGTCAGCTGTTTCTGTGGGTTTCTCCATGCCATAGTATTGTTATCCAACTGTCAAACACTCTTTACAAGTTGGGTATAGCTAAATACAATGCTCACACTACAAACTATTCCTCAGGCCATTGTTTGTTCCTTTTATCAATTTTATTTTTGATTTCCTTCCACTTCTTTCTTTTCTTCTGCCCTCCTTCATTTCCACTTATTTATGTACTTAATTCATTCACATGTATTTAGATAGGCCTGTGTTAGACATAGCATCAATAAGGAAGGTAATTCTGTTTTTTTGTTTTGTTTTGTTTTGTTTTTGGTGGGGCTCACATTTCAAAGGAGAAGATAAAGATACAAATCAAGAAGGTGCCTAGAGATTGTGCCTGGGGTACCTATAGGTGGAAGTTTAATGTGCATAGGATCAGGCTCTGAGGAGGCAGTCTCCGAGGAGATGCTTAAAGGATGGAAATGAGTAAGTCATTGAAAGATCCAGGCAAAAGTAAGTTACAGCGAGTTGGTAGCAATGCAAAGACCCAGAGAGAAGAAAGACTTCCCTTAATTCTAAAATTTGAAGACAAAAGGGACACAGTGTGTTCACTGGGCTGTCTACTGAAAGATCTCCTTCATATCAAATAGCAGCACTGGTTTTTCAAGTTTAAGTACCAAAAATTATATTAACTACTATTAAAGTATGTTCTTAATTTTAATATTTCTCCAAATTCCCAAAAACAGATTTAAATTAATTTTATTTAAGTCAAAAATGAACTAAAAACATGTGTTGGATTTCTTATCATACTTAAATGAAGGAGTTTAGACTGTAATACAAGTCTACTCAAATTAATTAATGTAAATTCATATTCTCTTTCTCTCTTTTTCCTCTTCACTGAGACAGAATCTTGGTATGTGTGCCTGACTGGACTCAAACTCATAATCCTCCTGTCCTATTCTACCCATTCTTGAAAAAAAAAACCCAAGTTGATCAAATCCTCTTATTCATGGTGTGAGAAATGAGGTCATTAGCAGAAACATACTGACAATGAGGTTTTGTGAGCAAAAATGTAATAAGTACTTCCTAGTTATCATGGTTATATTGTGCGCAGGTTTAGAGATCCACTGGAAAACTTCTGAGACTTTCTCCTTGATTCCTTAAGCCAGAGAGCCCTCTGAATGCCATCTTTAATAGCTATCAGATGACGGTGCAAAACAACACATACTACATCACAATAAACTTTAATGTTCAAATAAAAACTGTTACTTGTACATCTTTTTATACTTATTTCACTACATAATAAAAAAGAATGAGTTTTTGTTGTATGTGGTTTTAAGTTGGTACCACTATCAGGCGGACACTAACACATGGGTCCAAACTCACTGGGGGAACAGCAGAAGGAAAAAGGCACAAACCTAAACTGCATCAGCCTAGACACTGTGCACTTAAATGACACTACTATTGTTCTGGCATCCTAGTTCTTTGAGATGTAGACTATAGCATGTTCTTCATTACTGGGGAGCCCAAATCCGCCAACTTTGCCTGTGCTTGTGGCAACTCTATTGGTTCTCTCCTAAAAATGATGTCTATTCAATGGGAATGGGTAATAAAGGTAGAAGATGGTGTGTAGGCAGTGTTTTCTACCCCCTTCCATGAATGAATACTGAGATATTAAAGACATTGCATGTCATTTACTGACACAATAATGTCCTCACACTCTAAAATCAAACAGTAAAATCCGAAGACATTAAATCCAGAAATAGATGTAGTACAGGCACTCTGGAAAACAAGGGAGCATTACAGCTCATTTTAAAATTTGAAAACAACCATGGATTATGATATGAGGAAATGCTTATTAGCCATTTTTCCAGCTCATTTTAGTTTTATCACTTTTTACACAATTTAAAATTTATGGAAACGTTTGAATGGTGCCTTTAATTTTTGCCAGAATATTTTGAACTTGTTTTCAGACTGAAATTGAAGAAACCGGAGGAGGGTTTGAATAACAACTTTCTTCAGTCTGTTTATTTAAAACATGATGAATAAGCACAAAGAGAAGGTGCAGAATTGAAAAAAGGAAAATGATCCTCTCTCCTTCCTAGAAGTGTTTGAGGTTTCTGGATTGTTCCGCATCTTAAACCAATAGCTGCAATCTTGCTTGCCTGTTAGCAGCCAAATATATCCAACATTGTTCTCATTTACTGTATTTGTGTAAACTTAAGTCTCTTGAGTAGTTTAAAGTCATAGAAAATAAAAAAGACGCTTCCCTGATGCTAAGTCGACTTCTTTATTGTACTAAAAAAAACCTGCAAAATTTCCTATATTAGAATCCCAGTATTTTAACAACACTAACTACCTAGTGTCTGTCAATCAATCATTCTCAGAAAATGATAGAATAATGACAAAGACAAATAAAAGAAAATCATTTTGCTACAAGTGTAGTTGACTTTATTTTTGAGACAGGTCTCACTCTATAGTCTAGGCTGGCCTGGAACCTGGGGATAATCCTTCACCTTGATCTCCTGAGTACTGAGATTATGATCATGTGCCACCATGCCAAGGTTTGATATAGCCCAGTCTTGACAGGAATTAGGAAGTGCCACAGAAATGTTCATTCAATTTAAACATAGTGAGTGTGTAAGATCCCACACTCAGAAATCCTCTGCAGGCTTTATTCTCATTCTAGAAACTCAGTCAGAGATGGGGAAGGGTGAGAACCTGGAAGTAACAATTAGAGTTTCTTTGTGCAATGTCCAATTCACATATACAAATTCGTGGGAATCATTTCATGGGTCAAAGGAAATTTGTTCCAACCAAAAAGGTGTTAGTATTGGAGAGGTCTTGGGCTGGTCAGTGATGGTATATTACTTTAATCCCAGCACTCGGGAAGCAGAGGCAGGTGGATCTCTGTGGGTTCTAGGCCAGCCTAGTCTACAAAGCTAGTTCCAGGACAGCCAGGGATGTTACACAGAGAAACCCTGTCTTGAAATAAACAAACACATAGATGGATGATAGATAGATAGATAGATAGATAGATAGATAGATAGATAGATAATAGGTAGATAGATGATAGATTGATGGATGGACAGATATGATAGATAGATAGATTGTAGTTAGATAGATAAATAGATAGATATCTTAAGTGATCCTTTCCAAGTTGATTGCTCACAGCAATCATTACTTAAAATACTGCTTTTCACAACTGCCAATTGTTATCAGAAGGTGGAAGGCAAAACAGATTAACATGGCTGCCTTCCCAAGTTTTAGGCCATTTTAAGGGTATCACATGACATGCACTAGCAGTAAGTTATTAAGGAGCACAATGCTAAAATGATCACTTAACTCCAGCAATGGAAGTGTAAATGTCCCTAGGTTTAAGGGAACAGTTGGCTCTGGGGACTTGTAGACTTTGCTGGACAAGCTCAAAACCATGAAGCACTACCACGAGCTGAGAAGATCTCCCTGGTTTTGGAAGAAAGCACAAGCTGCTATTTACATCATCCCCTGTGC